CCCCTCCTTGGGTTTCCAAGGCAGTATCACTATGGAAGTAGATTGCCCCATCTTCCTTCCAAGGAGTGGCTGGTGGGTTTGAACTGCCAGCCTTCTGGAGCAGTCAAGTGCCTTAGGCACTATGCTACCAGAATACAAATATTACTTCAAATCCAAAGCAGAATTTTTGGGTAAAATAACTTAAACACTTATTGGTAATAGTTCTGAAATAAGTCTGCTGATTTATACAAAGCAAAAGTATTTATTTTTAACTCGTTACTGTAGGAATATAAAACAATTCTGTGATTACTGTAATTTTATGCCAGTAATGTGCTCATTATAGTTCACATGTTGCTGTAAAAAAAACTACCATAGTGTGCTAATGAAAATACATTAGGAAGAGGGCATAGTTGGCCAAAAAACAGATAGTGAGTGTGCTATTTGTGTAAAATTACAGTGTATCTGTTTTCTCAGTTAATGAGAAATCTCACCATAAACTAAGATGCTATTAGGTATTTTATACTGGTGATGAAATCTCTAGCAATAATACAGAAATCAAATTTCCTTATATGCAAAAATGTTTAGGGATTGTCATGGGTCAAAAAACACCTGAGTTGATATCCCAGAGCATTTACTATGTTGCTATTTATTTACTATGTTATTATTGAGCATTTACTATCTTGCTCTTAGGTGCCACCAAGTCAGCTCCGACTCATAGTGACCCTAAGAACAATAGGATGAAACACTGCTGGCTCCTGCACCAGCCTCACAACTCTTGCTATGCCTGAGCGCATCTTTGCAACCACTGGGCCACTCCATCTCATTGAGTGTCTTCCCCTTCTCTGCTGACCCTTTACTTGACCAAGCATGATATCCCTTCTCCAAGGAATGGTCCCTCTGACAACATGACCAAAGGAGATAAGAGAAAATCTGGCCATTCTTGTTTCCAAGGAGCATTCCAGCTACACTTCCTCCAAGACAGATTTGTTCGTTCTTCTGGCAGTCCATGGTATTTTCAGTATTCTTCACCAACACCACAATTCAAGGCATCAACTCTTCTTCAGTCTTCCTTATTCATTGTTCAGCTTTGACGTGAATATGAGGTGATTAGAAATACCATGGCTTGGGTTAGGCTCACCTTAGTCTTCAAAGAGACATCTTTGCTTCTTAACACTTTAAATAGGTCTTTTGCAGTAGACTTTCCCAGTGCAATGCAATGTTTGATTTCCTGACTGCTGTTTCCACAGGTGTTGATTGTGGATCCAAGCAAGATATCCCTTACAAGCTGAATCTTTTCTCTGTTTATCATGATGTTGCTTAGTTGCGAGGATTTTAATTTTCTTTACTTTGAAGTATAATCTAAACTGAAGGCTGTAGTCTTTGATCTTCATCAGTAAGTGCTTCAAGTCATCTTCACTTTCAGCAAGCAAGGTTGTATAATCTGTATCACAGGTTGTTAATTGTTCTTCCTCCAATCCTGATGTTGCATTCTTCTTTGTATAATCCAGCTTCTCAGATTATTTCCTCAGCATACAGATTGAGTAAGTGTGGTGAAAGTATACAACCCTGACACATACCATCCCTGATTTTAAACCAAACAGTATTCACTTGTTCTGTTTGAACAACAGCCTCTTGGTCTATGTGCAGGTTCCTCATAAGCACAATTAAGTGTTCTGGAATTCCCATTCTTCTCAATGTTGTCCATAATTTGTTATGACCCACACAGTTGAATGCCCTTGCATAGTCAATACAACACAGGTAGACATTTTTCTAGTGTTCTTTGATTTCAGCCAAGACCCATCTGACATCAACAATGATATCCCTCATTCCACATCTTCTTCTGAATCCAGCTATCATTTCTGGAAGTTCTCTGTCAATATACTACTGCAACTGCTTTTTAATTGTCTTCAGCAAAATTTTACTTGTGTGTGGTATTAATGATATTGTTTGATAATTTCCATGTTCTGTTGGATCACCTGTCTTTGGAATGGGCACAAATATCAATCTTACCCATCAGTTGGCTAGGTAGCTCTCTTCCAAATTTCTTGGCATACAAGAGTAAGTGCCTCCAGTTCTACATCCATTTGTTGAGTATTGATTATAGCAAGGTACAAAACCAGGTGCCTAACATTCATTATCTGATTTAATTATAAGAGGACACAAAATACTTTTGCTGAGTCAGAGTTTCGCAGATGTCCCCAAATCAGTGACAAACTACTAAGTGCCTGAACTCACTGAATCCTCAAGTGGAGGTCTGAAATTTGGACATCTATTCTGCATTTGCTGAGGCATGGGAGTGTCTCATACTGGCTTTTCCAGCATAAGCAAATAGATCACACACCTCTAATCTCTCTAACTCTATTGTTATTGTTAGGTGCCATTGAGTCCATTTTTCACTCATAGTGACCCCATGTGACAGAGTTGGACTTCCCCATAGGATTTTCTAGACTGTAATCTTTATGAGAACAAATCACCAAGTCTTTATCCTTCAGGGCCACTAGTTGGGTTCAAACTACCAACGTTTTGGTTAGCAGCTCAGTGTTTAATCATTGCACCATGAATGCTCCTTTCTCCAAGCCTGGGGAGAGGAATTTGAAGAGAGGAAGTAAAGAGAACTTGGGAACTATTTCTTTGGAGAGAATCATCAATGTGCACTCTATGGCCTTGCAGGTGAAGCATGCTATGATTATGTGGGTACTCATTGAACAGTTGTCTGTTTCCAGAAATTGTGCATTGTAGAAAATAGCCAAAACACTTTATACATAGAAAAGTATGCCAGCGTTTAGAAATTTTATCTATTTATCTACCTTACTAATCCATTGTGATGTTTAAATAAAGCTGCATAATTATTGTTGCAATATTCATTTTGGGAAAACAGATGAGTCTAACCAGTCCCTGGAGAAGGACGTCATGTTTGGTAAAGTAGAGGGTCAGCAAAAAAGGGAGAAGACAATCCATCTTCAAAGAGATGGATTGTCACAGTGGCTGCAATAACGGGCTCAAGCAAAGCAAGGACTATGAGGACGGCACAGGCCTGGTCGATGTTTCATTCTGTCATACATAGTTTCACTATGAGTCAGTCATAGCTGATTCGATGGCACCTAAAAACAAGCTACTGCTGAGTCTACAACTATTGCTGACAAACCCACGTGTGTCAGCATGGAGCAGTGCTCCACAGGATTTTCAATAGCTGATTTTTTGGAAGTAGATCACCAGGCCACTCTTCTGCATCATCCCAGGGTAGCCTCGAACCTCCTAAGAGGTCCTTAAACTTCTTAGGACATTTTTATACCAAATTAGACAAAGTGTTAAGGAGGAATGCTCATCCATTTCCTCAGTGAAGTACTCTCCTTTTCATCTTTTCATTCAGAGGAAAGAGGTAAAAACCAGATTGTGAGAGATAAGGGAGAGTTAGATAGCCTTTCTGGATCCCCAGGAGGACACGGTGACTCTGAATGGGCACCCATTGTCCACATGCAGTGGTGGCACATGACAAGACTGCACACATGAAAGATCCTACTACTCATCACGCCCAGGAGTCAGCCCTATGAATTCGAGCTGGATGGGCTCCCTCATGATGTTGAAAATCAGGCAGATCTAGGGTATGGGACTACATTCAATGAAGGCATTTCTCCACATATTCTTCTTGGGCCATAGCTAAGATTCAGAATGCACTATCATACACACAGGAGCCCTGGTGGTGCAGCGGTTAAAGCACTTGGCTGCTAACTGAAAGGTCAGTGGTTCTATCTCACCAGATGCCCTGCAGAAATATGTAGTAGTCTGCTTCTGTAAAGAATACAGCCTTGGGAACCCTACTGGGCAGTCCTAGGCTTGCTATGAGTGAGAATCAACTTGGGGCAGTGGATTTTAGTAGGTATTATCACACACACAACCAACTCCCAATCCAGTGAAGTACAGGTAATTCTCCAACATCTATCAGAAAATTGAATCCTAAAAAAATTCAGGCTCATCCCATTCTATCAGAAGGTTTTTTTCAAGTATAGAGTGGGTTAGAAGAGAACACAAGTCTCTTTATTGTTGAAAATGTGCATCTCTTCTTCTGTGATACAGTTGAACACAGGTCCATCTTCAGTCTTGAGGTACACATAGTCCTTTACATCAAGGTCACTTCAAAAAACCTGAGTGCAAAGGCATGAGTTTCAAGTTTCAAACATTCTGTTCATAAGGTTAAAGATGAAAATCCCACTTTCCTTTGTTTTTTTAGAGATTCCCATTGATGCATGTTAGGTATATCTGCAAAACCTAGCCCACTACATTTTGAAATTCCAATGCCAGGATGTCATCAGGGAAAGAATGCTTTATTATTGGCAAAACAGGAAAATGAAAATTAATGAGTCATACCAAATAATAAAATAAAGCTTTTCAGGAAATAATTGGACTGTGAGGTGTCTGAGGGAAGAAACATGGAAAGGTCTATAGGTGTAAACTGTAATATTGGTATGTTACAGCCATAAAGTCACATCTATGACTTAATGAAACTACATTGATTGAATAATTAGATGAATGAATAACTGAATGAAAGAATGGATAAAGAAGTGCCGACCAATGCCGCAAACATTTGCAAGTGGCCTAGCCTCTTGTTGTTATGTGCCATCAAGTCGGACCTGACTCATAGCGACCCCTCCTTGGGTTGCCAAGGCAGTATCACTACGGAAATAGATTGCCCAACTCTCCTTCTGAGGAGTGGCTAGGTGGTTTGAACTGCCAGCCTTCCGGTTAGCAGTCAAGTGCCTTAGGCACTATGCTACTATTGAGCTCCCGCCTAGCCTCTTAGGAATACACAAAATTAGTCTGTTTTATTAGGTTTTTCCCATGATTTCTTTCTAGGTCAGAATTTAAGCATGCAAAACTTCCTGTTAGCAACAGTTCTGTGGATGGCATCTTTAACCTCCTTGTTCCTTAAGCTATAGATTAGCGGGTTCAACATGGGGATCACTGCAGTATAAAACACAGACACCACTTTGTTGAGATCCAGGGAGAAACTTGCACTAGGCCGTACATAAATAAAGAAAAGAGTACCATACAGGATAGAGACAGCTGTCAGGTGAGAGGAACAGGTGGAGAAGGCTTTGCGCCTCCCATCAGCAGAGTGAATCCTCAAGATGGCGACAAGGATGTAAACGTAGGAAACCAGTATAGTCAAACCACTGAAGACGCCCACAGCTCCAGCCACAACAAAAACTACCAACTTATTAAGCCTGGTGTCAGCACATACAAGGGAAAGCAGGGGAGACATGTCACAGAAGAAATGATTGACAACATTGGGGCCACAGAAAGGGAGACGAAATGCATTTGTTGTATGGGTCATGGTGTTCACAAATCCAATGACATAGGGACCAACCACCAGCTGGATACAAAGTCTCTGGGACATGGCAACCGAATATAATAATGGGTTGCAGATGGCAACGTAGCGGTCGTAGGCCATGGATGCCAAGAGAAAGCACTCAGCTGCCACAAAGAATCCAAAGAACCACTGCTGCAAAGCACAGCCCATGAAGGAGATGGCTTTCCTCCTCACAAAGAAGTCAGTGAGCATCTTGGGGCTCACTACTGAAGAGAAGCACATGTCCACAAAGGAGAGGTGGCTGAGGAAAAAGTACATGGGTGTGTGGAGGCGGGAATCAATTCGTATGAGAATAATCATACCCAAGTTCCCGGTGAGGTTGATGACATAGAAACTCAGAAAGAGCAGGAAAAGGAAGACCTGCAGCCGGGGGTTGTGATTCAAGCCTGTGAAAATGAACTCTGTGACCCTTGTGTAGTTTTCATTGGCCATTGACTGGTTCCAGTTTCCACTAGAAGAAGAGCAAAGAAGCAACAACATGTTTGATAAACGTGACCCCAAAAATGATACAGTAAAAATATACCGAAAAAATAAAAAACCTCACTGCCATCAAGTCAATCCCAACTCATAGCAATCCCCACTGGGTTTCTAAGGCTGTAAATCTTTATAGAAGCAGACTTCCCCATCATTCTTCCACAGAGCAGCTGGTGGGTTCAAACCACTGACCTCTTGGCTAGCAGCCAAGTGACTTAACCACTACACCAACCAGAGCTCTTAAAAATATACCCATACCTGAGAAAGAGTTAGGAATGATGTGACTTAGTTTATACTCTGTGGCCAAGGAAACGGAAGTTGAGCTACCAACTGGTACAAAGTGGTGCACCTGCAATGATAGTGTTTTTAAGACTGTGGAAACCCATCTTTACATAGATGGGAAACATGAAGCCTAGGAAAGAAAACAGGCTTGCTCAAGGTTCCATGACTAATTATTGGCTGAGGTGGTTCTAGAATGGAGGAACCACCTATTAACTAGTAGCTCCCTCTTCAGTGAACTTTACTTGCATTCTACCATACACACATCTGGTGGAATGAGGTACAAACACACGAATGAGGCAAAGCTAGACAGGAAAGTGACGTTTATTGAGAAGCCACTCATGTGTAGGTCACACGTTGTGCATTTTATGAGTACAGTCTAAGGCTAAGTGCATTTTTCCAATTGCTCTGGAGTTCATCTCCTCTGACCCTGGGAATGTTACTTATCTGCATGTAAAATGGGAATAACAACAATAGTAACACCTATCTTATAGGGGGTTGTGAGGATAAAATAAGAGCATTAATACAGAGCACTCACCAGAGTGTAATTGAACAGCTACATAAGTGTTCAATAATGTTTAGTATTTTTACTGTATTACTTAATCCCTCTCAAAAGCCTGGAAGCTACAAACCATTATTCCATTTTACCTAGGAGGCAAACTGAAACTCCATCGATGTTCATAAAACTAGGAACTGGCGGAGCTGGGCTTCAAACATGTGACAGTCAAACTCCAAAGGCATGGCCCTCTTTCCTTTTCTCTGCTGCAGGGAAGATTCATGTGCCTTCATAATGCTTTTGATCCCACAAATGAAATTCAAATTCCATCTCAATATGAGGACAGGGTATTTTATTGGCTTCTTTATCCTAGCATTGAGGTTACAGTCTATGGTCATTAATGGGAAACCCAAAGGACAGTAGAAGGTGATGAGTTCAAATATCTCTTTATGGAAACAGTACAGGGAAGAAATCGTAAAGAGATCCCAAATTCCCCACCTATATATCTTGTATATACCTTTTTGTCACCCACTAAATGGGTAACCTTGGTCAAGACACTTGATCTCTCAGAGCCTTAATTGCTTAATTCATTAAATACGGTTAAAATTCTTGTTCTGTGATCTCTGAGAATTCTCGTTCACTTACGAGAGAATGGAAGTTAAAATCCTCAGAGCACTGAGTACTACTCATAATTTTCTTTTAAATATTCTACTAGCCCAGGAACTTGGAGTCCAACATCATACATATACTAGTCATCTTTCCTTCAGTTTTCTCATCTGAAATGTTATTCAACTTTAGCAAATCCTCCTACGAAGCTAACAATACACAGTTTACAGTATATTCTTGCTTCAGGGGAATCACATTTTCTTGTTGCTTAAACTCCTTCAACAGCTTCTAGCACCTCCTCCTGCATCAGGCACACAGCATCTCAGACTTCTAGTAGGCAACTGCCTGAAGGCCCTCAAGTCTTAGGTCATTCTTGGGTTTCACACCTGCCCAAGCCGGGCTTCTACCCCTACAGGCACACTATAGTTTCTCTGCTACATTCCAGTGCTTAGAATAGAATACAGTGTTCCATATTAAGTCAAACCACTCAGCTTAGACAGCCACACTCTCTTGTTCAGGGCACCAGCAACCATCAACATAACCTACAATGGCCTTCTCTTAGCAAACCATCACTCAGATGGCTTACACAGGGATGTAAGTTGAACTTCAGTGCTATCTTTTCCCCTTCTCCTGCCGCTCATGAGTCTCTACCCCATTTTTTTATGTAATTTTAGTTTTATCCAGCTGCAAAACCTTAATTTATCTCTACATAAATTGTACCTTCTTAGATCTTGCTGAATTATCTAAGTGATACAGATCATGCTGGTCCTGGCCACACACCAAATACAGAATCTAATTCTACTAAAAATAATTCATGACTTCTGAAAACCATTGAAGATCAGATAGCAAAAAAAGCACTACACAATTTAAATGTTCTCAACTTACATTCCAGTGGGCTCACTCTTCTTTAAAGATGGCAAAAAGAACTAAGGTAAAAATGAACTGTTTCTCAAGGTTTATTCCTCGCCCTATCATGGCTACCTTCATGTGTGGAGTGGGCCAAAATCTACTGTAGTCATTTGATTTTAGTCTCTATCTTCTTCTCAAAAAATATGGAAAACTCTACTGTGAAACATATTCAGAATTTTTGTCAATTAGATAAAAGCTCCCTGAACTGGTTGTATCAGTTTTGCTCTGTTGCTGTTATTAAAGATGTCCTGTCCCTGAAGTGTACCCTACCTTGGGAATGAGGCCACCAAGGTAGGGTACAATTAAATTTTGCTTCACACCCTAACTAAGTCCAATGGGATCTGTTTTTTGATAAGTTTGTGTTTGTTTCTACCTGGATATAGCCTCTCCATTTTCTTTAGTTACACACTAAGCAAACAACTTCCAGTGGAATCGTTCGTAAATTGAAGTAGCGCAGTGCCTAAGGCCCTTGACTGCTAACCAGAAGGCTGGTGGTTCA